TTATTTATACCATGTATTAATTATAATGTCTATAAATTATATTTTGTTATAATGTCAATAAATTATATTTTGTTATAATGTTTTAGTTTATTTTTAGAATGAATAAAGCTTCAAACTACACTCACATGCATGCGTCGAGGTCGACAAGGTTATTCGTCAATGTTTGATTCAAGCGGGTTTCGATCACGTTATTAACATTACTTCATATAGAATTGATAGAAAATTTATTCTCGCCTTGTGCGAAAGATGGAGACCAGAGATCCACACATTTCATTTTCCAACAGGTGAATGCACAATCACTTTAGAGGATTTACATATGTTGTTAGGTTTGCGTGTGAATGAGTTAGCAGTTATTGGCTACACAAATGTGGCATACGAGAAGTTTCAAGAACTATTGGGGGTGCCTTTGGAGCCCACTAGTAGAAAAGGGAAATGCATTAAAGTTACATGGTTAAAGGAACATTACAAAGCTTTGACATTAGACGAGGACTCTCCCGAGGAACTAAAAATTATGAAAACTATAATGTATATTTTATTTCTTTTTGCATGCTTATTATTTTCTGATACTAATGATAACACTATCCATCTTCTGTTTTTACCATTATTAGAATATATAAATAAAATAGGTAGATATAGTTGAGGTGTTACTACTTTAGCGCATCTATACAGAAATTTGTGTAGATGCGTGGCGCTACTCGAAAAATGCATCGCGCAACGACGGGGAGGCGAAAAGAAAGGACAGAAGAGTCGCCACCGAACTTTATTTATCCCATGAGGGGAAAGGAAAATACCGAGAAAACCTTAAGAAAGAAATGGATAAGATGGTTTCGCAACCAAGAACGGGTTCGGAAGCCGGTTATGCGAAGGGAAGGTATTAGCACCCCTCGCATCCATCGTACTCGATGGGAACCTTTTGTTTGTCGATGTGTGAATTTATCTGCTTAAATATATGATATAAGAGGTGTTCCAATGGGTAAAGATGAGGGTTTAGAAACAGGGAAAGAGAAATAACGGAGGGGAGAGGAGAAAGAACGGACTCGGTAGGACTTCGCAGTCCTATGCCTACGTATTCTCAATAGATGTGAGAAAGTCAGAGTCGACGTAGTTCGGGAAACTACGGGTGATAGGGGGGATTGTGCTCGCCAAGACATCGCCGTCTTGTGCCTACGTATTCTCATCTGGTATGAGAAATCAGAGCAGCCGTAGTTCAGCCAACTACGGGTGAAGGGTGAAAAAGGGAGCTCGCCAAGACATCGCCGTCTTGTGCCTACGTATTCTCATCTGGCATGAGAAATCAGAGCAACGTAGTTCGTGCTAACTGTGTGTTGATGTTTTTTATAGATGATGCTATCGTGCGCATTCTAGCAGTTAGGTGTTTCGCTGCTCGCTCGTTGGAGACTTAGGCGTTACCTGTTTGCGGTAGAACGGACGTAACATATCCTTTTTGAAAGGTTAATTTTCGCCATGCGAGGCAAGGTGTCACGTTTGATTTGTGGGTTGTTTTTTTAGGGGCGAGATAGGTCCTCGGATAGTAACCCCTTGCGGATAGTACCCAATTCTTTATCTCAAAGTTTTTGTTATAAAATGGTGTGGCGAACGTAGCGTCTTTGTATTGAAAGACGAGTATCAAGACCACACACACTACAGTGAGTATCCTGACACTCGGAGAGGAAGAAGTCTACACTTAATCCTTCTTTTTAATTCAATGCAAAGAGAACTCCGTTCTCTTATTAAAGTGTTTTTGGTTTTGAATGGTAAGTACTTTTCTGCGACAGAGAACCCTACGGTAAACGTCAGCACTCGGGATAGGAGAAGGCCTACGCCTAACCACTCCACGACCATTCAAGTTTTTGTTGCGAAAATGAGTTTGAAAAGGCACTCGGTACAGGACCGAGGTTTTAAGTGAGAAAGGTGCGGAAGGAAGCTGTGAAAGGAGAGGTGATGGAAGAAGTCACGTCTTCGTATTGAAAGACGAGTGTCGAGACCACCCTCACTACAGTGGGCATCCCAACACTCAGAGAAGAAGAGGTCTACACCCAATCCGCTCTTTTTAATACGAGGAGAATTTAATTTGGAAAATGAGATTTGAAAATGGATGGGGAGCGTCTTCGTATTGAAAGACGAGTGTCGGAACCACCCTCACTACAGTGGGCATCCCAACACTCGGAGAGGAAGAAAGTCTACACTTAATCCCCTCTTTTTAATTCAATACAAAGATAATTTGATTTTGAAAATTGTTTGACAAAGTTTTTGAATCGAGTCGGGACAAGTAATGAAGAGAGAAAAGAGGTGGTCTCAGATCCAACATTACTTATCAATAATTTGACTGATAATGAATTACGGAAGTCTCTTCATAGACCAAAGTAGAAAATGGGACAAAATGCCCAATAACAAATGCGAAATGGAATTAACTTCTAAAATGGAAAGAGATTTGTAACTCTAAACATGAAACTATATTATAAACTTATAAAACTTCTAAATAAATTACAAACAAAGTATATTATAAATTTACTAACTATTTAAAAATCTAATATAATACAATTTTTTTAAGAAAAAAACTAGCTAGAATATAAAATGTAAAAATAAACTGTTTAGAAGAATGTTATGTAAATTAATTAAAAAAAATCTAACACACTGATTCTAACATATATTAACAACTATTTTTTTTAAAAGAAAAAGTATTAACAAATTAATTACAACAAAATTAAAAGAGAATCTAACCCAAATTTTAAGAGTCAATCCCTCAGTCTGAACTGAATGATTGCAAGAAGACCACCGTTTCCTCTTCTAAACCCAGTCCATCAAAATCGACGCTCTCCAGAAGCAAAACGCAACGAAAAAGAAAAATCACTCAGAAATCAACCCTCTTTCACCTCGAGCTTGGTTCGATTCGAGCCTCACCACGATACGAGTTCGCCTTCGTGAATCTCTCGGTTCTTATCTTCTCTGCTTTAAATTTTGTTTGGATTCTGATTTTGGTTTGTTGTTCTGGGGATTTTTGTGAAGGTATGAAGATGGGATGGTGTAGTGAGATGGTAGCTGACGGTTGTTGTTCAGTTCGAGTAACGATAGGGTCGTATCTTCATCGTTCCCTAATCTCGCCTACCATCTGTTTGATGAAAGTTTTTGTTTACAGTTGAGGTTGATGGATGAGAGCAAAAGGATGTCGGTTTGAAGATTTGGAACAGGGAGAGCATGTCGTTTGGGTTGCTGCGGGTCGTTGTTGGGAATGGTTGAAGGGATAGAACGAGAATGCGCTTCCGGCGAATGGAATTTCGGATGGTGATTTTGTGGTGGGTTTTGTAGTTCGAGGGCTAATGGCAGAAGGTGGATTTCAAAGGTGATGATGATATAATTTCTAGGTTTCGGATATGGATTGAAGGGTTTCCTTTGGTTCTGGGTGAGGAAGAATATTGATGAAGTTTTAAGATTGAAACCAGTAAGAAAAAACGGAAGGGATTGAGGGTTGAAAAAAAAGAATCCCCTTGTGTTGGTGTTGCGGTTGGTTCTATTCAAGTTTGAGAAAGGTCATGATTCAAAGAATGTTGAAGGTGGTTGTGTCTTTAATCTGAAGGGAGTTGAAAAATTTTGGTGAATGAAGTTTAATGAAGGAAAAGGTTTCGGATTTGAGAGGATTGAAAGAGAGAAGAAGGTTTTATTTATGAAGGGGATTCGAGTAAGGATTTGGAGTAGAATGATTCTGTTAAGGTTTGGAGTTTTTTGTTGGATCTTGTTTGAAGTTTGCGGAGATAGAAGATTGACTGTTGGAGTTTTTGATGTTGAATCAGATGAAGGTGAGGTAAGGTTTTGATATTTGAAGAAGGATTACGGTTGGGGTTGAGTTGCTATATGAAGAATCAAGAGAAATGCTATGTGATTTCTGTTTGAAAAAACGAGATGCAGATTTTTTGAAGTGAGTTTTTTGAGGGAGTTGTGGGGATGAAGGTATGGACTCAAGGTTGAGGCTGAGGAACAAGGGCACAGTGAATTCATATTCTGAACGAGACCATCAACCTTCTTATTATTTTTTTTCTCCTCCTTCTTTTTGCTGTTTTTCTTCCTCTTTTAAGTTTCTTTTCAAAATTGTCTTTATTATTGATGTCAAGTCATTTTCAGGTGCAGGATTTTGTTTGTTGGTCTGGTGTGGAGTGGATTTGTAGCAAGCATGGTACGATTTCTGCAGGTGTGTGGGCTGGATGTTTTGTTTTGCAGGTATTGTCTGGCGGTACGGTTTGTTGTGTGTTGCAGGCTGTTTGTCTGGTGTGGGAGGAGTAGTAGCAGCTGTACCTTATTTCACCGTGTGGTAATTTTTGTGAATGTGGTTGCGAGATCCTGCTTGTATAGTAATGTTGCAAAGGGTTTGTTGTTAAGTCATTTGTTTCTGGATAGGCATACCACCAAAACCTCCCCTGCCGAACAAGATAGAATCTGCAGCTGCGCATCGTTTGATAGTATCGTCTGCGTATAGGACATCATCGATTCCCGCCATTATGTTAAAGGCCGAGCTCTCTGTCACCCTGGAATAACTTTCAAGAATGGACTGTCCTACATCCTTATTGTATTGTATCTTGGCCATATCTAGTGCTGTTTGAGGGAGCCCAGGAAACCGGTGTTTCAAGCTTTGCAGTAGTGTCTCTGCAATATATGTATTTAATGAACTGCAGCAGGTAGGACTAGGAGCAGCTACATTCTTACATACAGCAATTACATCTGAAGGCTCCTTAAAAGTCAAAGGACAAACTTTGTTGACTTTGCAGGCAGATAGTATCCGGAATGCTTTATTTGCAGCCTCTGATGATAGTTGTTTGGAAAGATAAGAATAAACAACACCTTTACAATCATTTAGATAATCAGTGTGATTCATTTCCCCGGCCATATTGTCACTATTTATCATCATTTGCCGGCCAGAAATCTGAAGTGCTGCATCCATAATTGCAGGCCGACAAACAGGTCTGCAACACTCTTTAAGCGGATCAACAGTTCTGCAGGCTTCAACTAATTTACTTGTGTTTACTGTTTTTTTCAAAAGTAGAATCATTCTTCACAGGGCATGACCCGCCTGTAAGATTAGATGATTTAATAGAACAAAGTGTGGGTATTGTACTATTTGCCCCTCTGCTAGCTAGAATACTAACGATATCAGAGAAGCAATGATCAGCAACTGCATTTGACAAAACCAGATTATTGGATTTCATGCCAAAGAAACCCTGGAAGATGTGGATTAAGCTACTAAATTGTGGACAACATACAACATTCCCTACGAGGGTTGCTAAAGGCCCAAAGCAATCAAATGCTGCTTTATCGAGGATATTTGAAATTTCTGGTCGTGAAAAGTTTACAGGGCACTTACCAGTTAAAACTGGTTCATATCTGGTTGGGACATAAGGAATAGGATACATTGGTGGGACAGACTCGGTGGGAAATGGAACTATAGGTATGACAGAAGGTGATATTTCTATGCGGTCAAAGAGCCCAGAATCTCCAGAAGTAGGTTCCTTAGCTAACTCAACTAGTGAAGTGGTTTGCCTATGGTTGACATGTGATATGTGTGCTGTCACATGTAAGAAAGTAGGAAGCCAGATGACAAATAAAATTAGCCGACAGCACCAAGAACCTCTATAGTAATTAGCATCCTGATAGCTGCCCATAACTTACTAGCCCTTCGGTGACATTGAGTTTTTACACAGGAGAACCAAATCCAAGCCGGTGAAAAGCCAAATGGCCGCACATAGAGATGAACCAGACTACTACCTCAAACTCCAAGCCTAAGATCGTGGGTGAAGAGAGAAAAGAGATGATGTTATTGTAAAGTAGTGAAAAGCATGGATCTGGATTTTATCAATCTTGTAACTTGTACTTGGTGATGAATTTATTTTGAAATGGGCTTGTATATTTATGTAGAAACTTGTTGTGATATTTTGGCTATGGACTTTATCTTCACAAGGACAAAAATTTTTTGTAGATTTTTTTGTATAATGTATGCTAAATGTATGGAATTTTGAAGTTATAAATGGGCCTTGGTTGGCTATTCATGCCCTTGAATTTAGACTCCAAAAAGTCTCATGAACCAAATTCCACCATTTTGGATTCTCACTTAGGAAAGAGGTCTTAAAATCAATCACGAATCAATTTTGTGCCTTTGATTGAATTAAAACCTATTCTGCTGATGAATCAAACGAACTTTATCACTTGAATCCAATGAGCATGAATATGCCTTAATTGAAAAGAACAAAACTCCATGTAATTCTCCACCATAAAGCATTTGAATTTTCTGACTATGAGGAATGGAAGGATGTATAAATGAGAAATATATATAAGTAGGACAATTTTGGATATGCTTATGCAATGTGATATGCTAATGCAATGATGTGAAACATAAACCAAATGGAGAAAAGGTAGGGCAAATTTTGGGGTACAACAATGCGCTAAAAAAATGTGCATAATTTTGCTAGTTGTGGAGTTTTGCTTCAAGCTTGGGGTTGGTCCAAAATGTCAAGACTGACACCAACAAACCTTAATTTTTACCAGTTTCCATATGCGACCAAGTACGTACAAAAAAATATATTTCTTTATATTTTTTTTATATATAATTTTTACTAACTATTTATTTTTAGGTGGTCCGCATATGGGATGAATTATGAAAAAAACCCTCATCATTGTGCTTCTGGATATCAGACGTTCTTCGATTATTTTGAGACGGATGATGCATTATCTTTAAAACTTATACTACTAACATTAAAGTTTATTTATAACTTTTTTAACTAATAATTTTTTTCAACTACATTACAGTTTCCATTGAGGCCATATCTTGGACTTGAAGATGAGGATTCGAATGAAAGTGACATGTGGAGTTCTACAAAATTTATAATCTATTTCACTTTTATTGAAATGCATCATTCAGATAGGGTTAAACTCCAATTTGGAATTCAACGAGAAATTCCTGGTCCACCTAGGTTCATGGAGAAGTACCACAAGATTCAAACGACAGGCCAATGGAAATTTGACAATTAGAAAGACCATTATAGACAAGAACATCAACAATGGATAAATTGTCACCACACTATCTTACAAGGAGATGTCATGAAAACCGAATGTAACCCAGTAGGGAATACATGGATTGGTATAGATATGTGACCAATTTGTATCTATTAAAAAATAGATACCTATTTGACCCTTATCCAAACCATATCTTTAAGCTTCCAACACACCATACCAACATGTAACTCCCAACAACAAACATTTAACACCCAACAACAAATACTTAACGTCCAACTATAAGAATAAAAGTGGTTTTGCATCTGACCTTAAGTTTTGATGATAATTACACATGTTATCTTAGAGAATAATTTAGTACTTTATGGTTTCTATCTAGTGTGTACTTGTTGCAAAATTGGATCTAAAACTGATAGAAAGGCGTGTGATGTCATCATACTCTGACTTAAACACTCTGGAAAGAAAACATATGTTTTGTACAAGTTAAAGTCAATATTCAGGAAGGCTCTTAATGAAACAGTTCTGAAGAACGTTTGTACTAAAGCTTCTGATTAAGACTTTGTTATTAAGCCTTGAAGGCTTTCTAAAGGTTGTGCTTCTACTGCTATATGTTCTGAAGTTTCTAAAGACAAGGTTCTGTTGGACGAAGTTTTGAAGATTCTAAAGACATCATTTCTGAAGATCAAGTTCTAAAGACTCTGAAGACAAAGTTCTATTGAATGAAGTTCTGAAGAACGTTTGTACTAAAGCTTCTGATTAAGACTTTGTTATTGAATGAAGTTCTTAATGAAACAGTTCTGAAGAACGTTTGTACTAAAGCTTCTGATTAAGACTTTGTTATTAAGCCTTGAAGGCTTTCTAAAGGTTGTGCTTCTACTGCTACATGTTCTGAAGGTTCTAAAGACAAGGTTCTGTTGGACGAAGTTTTGAAGATTCTAAAGACATCATTTCTAAAGATCAAGTTCTAAAGACTCTGAAGACAAGGTTCTATTAAATGAAGTTCTGAAGACTCTAAAGACAAATATGCGTTGAACAAGTTCTGAAGATTCTGAAGACGAGGTTCTGTTGAATGAGTTCTGAAGATTATGAAGACATCACTTCTAAATACCAAGTGGTGAAGACTCTTAAGTTGGTTCTGCTGAATGAATATATAAGATTCTAAAGACTTAGGATCTAAAGTTACAAGTATTGATCTCTCTACATGCTTCATCAAATCTACATCTGAAGCCTCTGAAGACTTAGAAGACAGAAGATTAAGAATGGTTGGATAAAGCTCTGAATATAAAAGTAAAAAGTAGTATGTGACCTCTACCTAGACTAGGTGGCATAAGGATAACTTTTTGTATTATGATGTGACCATCCCTTCAGTGAATGTTGGGTTATTACAACTGGAATATGTTTCTTATTATTACCCTTCAATAGATCTATTCTCAAGTCCTATTTTTTGAAGATCTGAAGACTTGAAGAAGTGCTTAAGAAAAAGCGGAAGTTGTATGAGCTTGTGTTGCTTACAAGCTGCTGAAGCAAAGAAAGCGAGAGAGTGCAAAACAAATGCTGCTGAAGCTGTTGCTGCAAGCTGAGTGAAAATACAAAATTCCAAAGTGCAAAATGTTGCAAGAGCAGAAAAGAAGATCAAGAGAGAGTAACTAGAACAATGAGCTGAAGAATACAAGAGAATGTGTGTGCAAGGCGGAAGCAAGCACCAAGTTATATAGCTCAAGAAGAAAATGCTCAATGCTCAACCAGATTAGAGCGATGCTCTACAAGAAATGAGAGAAGCATTAAAAGAAGCTTTTAATCTCATAAAACATATGATTATACGATGCAAATATCTAGGAGATTATTCTTAAGATAATTTTGTAGAATAGAAAGGAGTTGTTGCTCATATCTTGCTAAGAACACTTATGTGTTATTGTACTTCAATTGTGTCACCTACTTATTTAGAAGCATTCATGTATACACTCTTGTAATCAAAAATTGTTGATAGTTCCTTGAGAGACTAGGGTACAGTCAGAATTCTCAAAAAGATAATGGAGGTTATCCACTGTGGTTTGCAACAAGGATGGGTAGTCTAAGTTGTGTTGATATAATCTGTTGAGATTATTGGATTTAGTACTTGTCTAAGACAAAATCACCTTGGTGGGTTGACTAGAGTAACTTTGTTAATAGTGAACCTGGATAAAAATAACCGTGCCTATTTATTTTTATTTATCTTAACTAGCACTACTTTAATTCCGCATAAAAGTTCATAGTTGGTGAAACCCAATTCAAACCCCTTTCTTGTGTTTCTCTCCCCTTCACCAACAACAAATATTTAACACCCAATAACCTACATCTAACACTCAACAACCTTTCAATCCAACACAACAATCTTATACCCCAAGCCAAAACTATCATCAACCATACCCATCATTTAACACAACCCCCTTCAACACCCAACAATAAAGCCTAAATTTTACTCCCTCGTTATCATACACCCAACAACAAACACCATCCACCACCCAATATAACCAATACTCATTCTCCCAACCTACCCCATAAGAACACAACTACCAAACACGCCAACCATAAATCCCTTTTTACCACTCACAAACCTTCATCCATAATTCATCCCAAGACCAACACCCACATACCCCCTACATGACTAACACAATGCCATATACCACCCTACCAAATTGGAATAACGAGGGAAAAGATTAAGTTATGACAGTGCAACAGTGATACCGGTTGTGGACGAGTTTAGTGATGATATGATTACTGAATTTATGAATTCTAGGAATGATGCATGGCCTTCTACTCAGCATACAAATGTTGATGAAAATCGTAGAAGGTCTACCCGAATTGGACAGACTCCTGCTTATGGAACCCATCAACACTTTTATCGCCCTGGTCAAAATCAAGGATAAATAGGGTTTTAATGTACTCTTTTTTTTCATAAATAAATATTTATTTATTTCAATTATAATTTATTATTATTTTATTTATTAATTATATATAGTTTTAATTACATAATTAAATTACTAAATTATTAATAATTTTATAATTATTATTTATTTAATTAAAACATAATTATTATAGTCAAAAACCTTTTATTTTATCATTTAGTTACATAAATAAATAAAATTAAAAAAAAATAACGTAGGCACGGCCACCCATTGAAAGGGCGGAAACTTTAAAAAATACACTCTGCTGCCTGTTGAAAGGGCGCCACCTTTGTACCAAAAATGATTATTTTTTTTTGGAAACATGACATTTTGATATTTTTGATGAAAACTAGTATGGTATGGTATTTTTGTTGCAAAAGTGTGGCAGGACGGTAAAAATTTATATGTTTATATGCTTTTTTTGTACCTCACACTCACACCATAATGTTGTAGAAAACAAAGGCGTGAATCACATTTGCAAATTTAATCTCCTTTATTAAAGTAATGGTTATTATATACCCTTTACAAATATCAGTAACAACAATTTGAGTTTGAATTTGCTCCATTTTTTTATGAGTTTGGTTATCCGGTTCATCTCATAGGTTTTTGACAAGTGGTTACTAACAACTTTAATGGCTCAGATTTTGTGTTTAAAAATTAGTACTAATAATTTAAAAAACAATAGAAACTAGATTCTCTTTCTTGTTTCAATGCATCTCCCATAGCTTTTT